TAAAAAATAATGGACACAACTATCTCAACTAGGCTCAATCCATCAAAATGACGATCGATGGGAGAGACAAAATTGATTATTTAACCGAAAAAATTTTAAAACCTAATGCCAGTAATCTGAATTTGAAAAATGACAATATAAAAATTCTCTCGCAATGACATGACTCAACTCTATGGAATCTAACATAGAAAAGCCTCATATAACATAGAAAAACATCATGTATTCCCTCCCACTGCTCGAGATATCTAAGAGTTTGTTTGAGATCTCTATTCAAACTTGGAGAATTCTTCATAAATTTTTGAGTTGCAAACTCAACTTTGGAAATCTAAACAAAATGATTATGATGTTATCACATATTACAATGAGTTAGTAACATTATGGTAGGAACTTAAATAACATTATGATGACATTTGAGAGAATTCAAATGGTTATGCTCACCGCTAAAAGAGAGAGGAAAACAACCGGGTCTACATGCTCATAACCGACCTTAATCAAAGTTTAGACGAAGTCCGAGGCGAATCCTCGGTAGAAAACCTCTACCCTCGATTTGAGAAGTTTTTTCTAAAGTTAGCGTGAAGAGTCAAGAAGAAAAATTAGGCTATGCAACATCGAATCGTCTTGTAACATTGAATAGGATAACTCGGTTCTTGTGTCAAAAGATACTGCAAAGAAGGGCGTAAGAAATAATGGTGCATGTATTGCAAAAACTATGAAACACGAAATAGGCAGGTTGGAAGCTCAGGGTAAGCCTACAGATTAAAATCAAAATCCAAGCATGAAGGTCGAGCTCATCAAGCTATTACTGAAGAAACTCAAGAGTCTCATGTTAACTCGAATACAGTCCTTTTCTTCAATGAGCAATTAGAGCACTTGGACAAATTACTTTAATACACAAAGTTGTCTCTGACTTCGTCCTGCTCCTTAGTACTGAAGGGTAACCCTTTGGCCACTACTTTGCTAGGTTTTATTTCTAATTATTTTCTTTGAATACTTGTTTTCGACACTACATATCATATGGTTGTTTCTAAATTATCTTCCTTCTATAGGCCTCGTGTCGATAATAAAAAAGTCAAAGTGTCAATAGTTCATTCTCGATAATTGTTGAGATGGGAAGTGTCAAACTTTTCTCGTTGTTAACAGTTCACATTTTTCTCAATGTTCTTAATCTATTTTGTAATTTGTTGTCCATTAGTAAAATTATTGATGATTATCAATGTTAAGCTAATTTCTACTCATGTTGTGAGTTTTAAGAATTGACAATGGGGAGGATGCTTGATAGTGCTGAAGTAAAATATAGACTATTATTTAGATGATGAACTTGACTCGAATAGATAATGTCAAAATACTATTTTAAATTTAATTTCTATTTCTAAAAATAATGATTTTATGTTGTGACATTGTAGGTTAGATCATCATAGTTTTCAATATATAAAATACTTAATTTTCAAATTATTTTATAATAAAATTTTATTTTTATTTCAATGCAAAGTTTGTCAGTTTGTTAAACATTATCGTATATCATTTTCTCCACAAACCAACTATACTGTTTACTCTAATTCATAGCGATATTTGGGATTTTTGTAAAACTCTTACACATTTAGGAAAAAAATTATTTGTGATTTTCACTGATGATCACACTAAATTTAGTTTATTTTATTTAATAAAAAAATATGAAGTGAAAATAATTTTAAAAAACTTGTACATCATAGTACACACACAATTTAAAAAAAGTTTATTTTATTTAATAAAAAAATATGAAGTGAAAAGAATTTTAAAATCATAGTACACACACAATTTAAAAAAATATTTAAATATTACAAAGTGCAAATGAACTGAAGTATTAAATTAATATTTTGGGTCAATTTTTTCGAAAAACTTTTACATCATGGTACACAAAAATTTTTTTTAAAAAAATTCAAATACTGCGAAGTGATAATGACTGAGGGTATTTCAAAAATATTTTGAGTCAAATTTTTTCTCAAAAAAGAATAATTCATCAAACCTTTTGTATCAATACTCCACAATAATTGATGTTACTGAAAGTAAAAATAAACACTTTTTGGAGCTAGCTTAGGCATTGCTATTTATCAATCAGGTGTCTAAATATCTTTGGGGTGAAACCGTTTCTATTGTTATCTTTTTTATAAATAGAACACCCGATATTGTTTTAAACTCTGAAATATTTTTAATGTTTTCAAAAAAAAAAATTCCGAAGAATTGGCTCTCATCTTCTCTATCTTTAAAGATATTTGAGTGTACTGTTTTCGTTCACATTTATAATCAAGAAAAACTTAAATTCTAAGCAAAAAAAATATATTTGTTGGTTATGCTCTTAACTAAAAAGGGCATAAATGATTTTATCTCAATTCTAAAAAAAATATTTGTTATCATGGATGTCAGTTTTTTTGAATTGCAATCCCTTTTTTCACCTCATCTTTGAGGGAGGGAACAAAATAAAGATTTGTCTATTGAGTTTCAAAATTTTCTTCAAATCAAAGACTCCCAAAATACTGTGTCTCAAATCTTGATTGTTCAACTTGAAAATCCAAATGTTATTATATTAGAAAAGTGTGCATTGAGTATTTTAGATATTGCAATTCGTGGAATTTCTTTTAAGATGTTCATAACAAAGAAGAATCAATATATATATATATATAGTAGTGGTACCGTTTGATATTGTCTACTCGCGGCAGAAGACAATTTAAAAGAAAGAGTCTGCAAATCCTTTACACTCCTCAAAATCTGCAAATTCGTAGGTAATGTCCTCACCGATGCTTTTCCCTAGGTTCAGTCCACTTCATCTTTGAGTTATGAGTCTTCTAGTTTTGAATTTGAGTCTAATTCGAATTCTAAGTTTAATGAGTTGAGCCTTCACATAGGGGAAATGTTTGCACCCAACATCCTTGTCTCTATGTATTGTATGAAAATCTCTCACCCATTTTTTGTGATTTTACCTCACAATTATCATATATGGAGATTCCTAGTATTTTGCAGGATGCTCTGAAAGTCCCTAAGTGGGAGGAGACTGTCTTTGAGGAAATGAAAGCTCATGAAAAATGACACCTGGGAATTAGTTGATCTACCTAGAGGAAAGAGAACTGTCAGATGCAAATAGGTGTTTACAATTAAGTATAATTCTAATGGCTCTTTAGAACGGTACAATGCTCGAGTGGTTGTCAAGGGATTCACTCAAACTTATGACATTAATTATTTATAGACATTTTTCGTAGTCACAGAACTAGAATTTGTAAGAGTTCTTCTGTTACTTGCAACTAATCTTAACTCGCCTCTACAACAATTGGATATAAAGAATGCTTTCCTCAATGAGGACTTGGAGGAAGAAGTGTATATTGATGCACATCCAAGATTTAGAGAAAAGTTTGGCATAAAGATGTGTAAATTAAAAAAAATGTTCTTATAAGGTTTGAAGCAGTCACCAATAGTGGCGTTTGAGAAATTTACACTATTTGTAAACATGAGGGTATACTTAAGGGTATGGAGATCATAGAATGTTCGTCAGACATTCAAAACGATCAGAAGAGACATACTGATTGTGTGTGTGAATGATATTATTCTTACCGGAAATGTCATCAATTTTTGAAACCAAGTACTTACATGTTCTTATAAGGTTTGAAGCAGTCACCAATAGTGTCGTTTGAGAAATTTACACTATTTGTAAACATGTGGGTATACTCAAGGGTATGGAGATCATAGATGTTCGTCAGACATTCAAAACGATCAGAAGAGCCATACTGATTGTGTGTGTGAATGATATTATTCTTATCGGAAATGTCATCTATTTTTGAAACCAAGTACTTAGTATCTCTAAGATATTTTCTTGGCATGGAGGTTGTTCAATTGAAGAAAGGAATTGTTGTCTCCTAACGAAAGTATGTTCTTGATTTCCTCAAGAAACCGAGATGAGTGAGTGTAGACCTGCATACACTCCAATTGATCCCAATTAGAAACTGGGAGAAGGGATAGAAGGTGATCCTATAAATGTAGTTAGGTATAAAAAATTGGTGAGGATGTTTATATATTTATCATATACACGATCATATATGTCGTTTTTGTGAGTTTGGTAAATCAATTTATGTATTCGCCTTTTGAGAAATACCTTGAAGCAATCAAAAGTATTATGAAATTTCTATAAGGTGCACCAAGTAAAGGCTTACTCTTTTAGAATGTTACACAAAAGAGTATAGAGGCATACATTGATGTGGATTGGACAGACTCAATTATTGATAAGAGATCAACTTCAGAATACTGAACCGATGTGTGAGGAAACCTGGTTACATGTCGAAGTAAGAAACATATTTTGGTTGTAAGGAGTAGTGCTGAGATGGAATATAGGGCTATCGATAATGGAGTATGTGAGATGTTATGACTGAAAAGAATTCTTGAAGATATGTTGATCCCGCTTAAAGCAACCTTAAGAATTATAGAAAATCCATTGAAGCCTGATTGCATAAAGCATGTGGAGATTGACAGACATTTCATAAAAAAGAAGATTGAGTGTGGAGCCATTTACATGTCATTTATTTCTACCTCTCAACAAATAGCATTCTCTTCCACAAATGACTGTTCAGGCCTAGTTTTGAGCTTCTTTTAAGCAAGTTGGGATTAGGAAGATTTTTATTTTAGTATCTTCTATTTAGTGTTTTCTATTTTTAGAATTTAGAATTATTGGTATATTATAATTCCTCTTTCTTCTTTTTATCGTAGCGAGTTACGACTAATTTTATGATTTTCCTAACATGACAGCCGTCTCTCTCTTCTTATGAAATTGAAGAGGAATAAGTGTTTTCCCATCCCAAAACCTACACTTTGCAAAACTAAATCAATTCTATTGCAATTGAGATGAATATGTCGCTTATGAATTTCATCTTTTTGCTTACTACCTTAAGTGCATGCAAGGAATTGGTTTCTTTTATTTTCATACCGAACAATTTTTTTATATTTTTTTGTTCACTGCCATTCTGATGTCTATAATTATCCAGCTGAGACTTAGGTTATCTGGTGGACATTTTAGAATGCTCAATGAAAAGATGTACACATGCAGGTAACTCATTTTCTTCACTATGGTTATTGTTCAGTTTTTCAACCTCTCCAGCTGAGTCATTCAATTTCACATATCCTTATTGGACTTAAAAATAAATCCTAATCCCAGAACGTCTGAATTTAATTTATGATTTGTGGTAAAATTAATGTTTCTGCCTTAAACTTTAAGGAGAAATATGCTCACCATAATACATGAACTATTTTTTGAAGTTATGGTGGTTCCTTTTCTTTTATGCGTAATCCTACTTCATTTATTTGTGCTATGGTCGCAATTTTTTGTCACCAAAAAGTTTTTAGCATAATGCCTTAAACTTTGCATCCCTTTGTACAGTAGAGTGATATTTATTTCAATATCATTCTTTTTTTTTTTTTTTTTGCAGTGGTAATGAGGCATTCCACTTCTTCAAGAAGGAACCCAAACTTTTTGATCTGGTATGGTTTTTTCACCAGCCTTTGCCTTTTCCGATCAACATTTTAAAGTTTTTTCTTATTGTATAATGTATATCTTTTATTTTTGTTATCATACTAAATTTTCATGATTAACTGATGGGAATATTCCTACTTCTTATGCAAGGTGCATATAGTTTTATATTGGTATGCTACTTTCAACTCCAGAACTTTTTAAAATATGCTTCTAATTTGATTTTGTAGATATGATTGTCAAGCATACTGTATCTCCAACATAATCTGATCTTTTGGTGCTTGTTTTTCTGTTGTTGAATTTAATCTGAATAAGGGATCTTTTGATTGCCTGAAATTATAGTTTTTTTTTGAAAAACAATAAATTTTGTTATATCCAATTATTTAGGGTATGTTTGGCATCACTTTTGTTTTCTGTTGTTGTTTTTGTTATTTTTTAAACATTTTTTTAGTATAATTTTTATATATTTTTATTTTTTATTTTTAAAAATAAGTCAACCTGTTTTTAAAAACACTCAAAACATCTCGTGTGTTTTTACAAACAACTACCATTACCAAATGTTTTACTTCAAAATAAAACATAAAAAACAAAATGAAAACAAAAAAATAAAAGTGATGCCAAATGGGGTCTTACGTTGACACTAGTACTGTTTTAAACTCCACGGACCTTTCAAAAAGTACCTCCAAAATGAGTTTTTTCATTGTGAAAACAAATTCTTATTTATTTATTTTTTGCATATGCAAGCAACCAAATGAGCCCAGACGGGTAATTCACTATAGCGGTGAATGAAGAAAAAAGCATCATGTTGTCATATATGAGCCCACGTACAGTTCTATAAGTGGTAATTCACTATAGTGGTGAATGGAGAGAAAAAACATCATTTTGTCTATGGGGCCTCAGTTAGACAATAGCACTGTTGTCATCATGTTGTCATATTTGCAACTTAAATAACTAGACTTTTTGGCCATTTCGTTACCCTCTACTATTGCTTTGTAACTTATGATGCATTGGAATTTTGAGACATTTTTTGACGAATGGCGTTATCTCTTGAGACTTTGGCAAAGATGAAGATTCTTAGAATGCTGGTGTTTTCAACCAATGTGGAACTGAAATTAAATTTTGGAGATTAATTAGAACAGCGTACCACTCATGACCATGTCATTGATTTTTACTTAATAATATTATTGAAAGGAATGGAGATATTGATGCCGTATGCATTTAGAGTATGGAGTAAAAATTTTTAAAAAAAATCTCATGAGTATGTGATACAATAATGTCACGCACACTTAAAGGTAAATTTTATGAAAGGACATAATTTAATAATTAAGAATGGTGGTTAAATAGGGAAATGGCTTACTAGTTGATGTTGATTTTTGAGTTTATTTTCAGTGTAATGGAGCCATTCAATGCTATGAATAGTAAATTTCCTCGTAATTATTGTTCATTTTGAATGATTATTTCCTCCCAATTATTGTTCATTTTGAATGATAATCTGATGTTCATATTTGACTGTAACCACGTGAGGTTTCTATTTGAGTGTTTCAATATATGTGGGTTGTTTATTTATTTTTTTATTTTTTGGATGGCTAAAATGAATTTTCCGTAAGCTTGGTATTGGTTGTGCTTGTATCCAAAAGATGAGGATTCCACCAAATATTACATTTCTTAGTTCTATCGGTCGTTGTTTTTCTCCTAGACCTTTCTCTTATTATTTTACTATTTTTTTCTTTTAAAATTATCTGGTTGTACTAATGTACTCAAATCTAAAAACATACTTGAATTTTCACTCTATGGTGTTCTACTTGTGATTTACTAGGTAAAACTTATTTTATGAAAAAGTTCTTTGTTTGAGATAAATAATAACAAATTTCATGGTTGTTCTTTGTAATGAAAGCTGAATTTTATGTTTTATAATCAGTAGTTTGATTTATGGCGAATTTTAATCTTTTATTTGGCAACTTAACACCAATTTCAATAGACATTAACCTATGTCCTACATTGACTTGTCAAATCTATAGATTACACGGTCATGCACTTCTCTTGGTTTTCCATTTACTTTTGACTTGTGCTTCATTTGTTGTTTAAACTTTTTTATGTCTGCCGAACAAGCTCCTACTAGCCTCGTATAAGAGGTCTACGAACCAACTTTAACATTGGCAGTCTTTTTAGCGTACTTCTCATCCAAAACAAGAGTTTATGCAAACTACTACTCATAGACAGCAAATTAGTAATAGCCACCACCTGTTTTTTAGGAGTTGGTTCTATAGTTTCATTCTATAGTTTTTTTTTTTAAAGTTTCATTCTATAGTTGTTTCAATGGTTCTACCAAATTTTTGCAAGCCATCTTGGCCTAGTGGTTTAGAGCTTTGTCTTTGAACTAAGAAGTCCTAGGTTCAAGGCCTTGCATATGCGTTGAATCTACGTTTGTGCGTGTATGTAAAAAAAAAAAAGGTTCTGTCAAACTTATCTATTTAGTTCTTAGTACCATGCAGGATATCAAGAACAAATGTCAAGATGGCCTGAACAACCGGTTAACATTATCATTAAATGGCTCAAAAGTCATAGTTCTTCCTTAGTTGTTGCTGATTTTGGCTGCGGTAAGAGCAAGAAGATGCAGGTCTTGTTACACTTTCTATCATTCCATTTTAGTATGTAACGGAAAGGTTTCAGATGATCTACACTGAGGAAATCAAGTTAATTTTCTTCCATGATTCTCATGCTAATATTTTTCTTAATTTGTAGGGAATGCAAGCCTTGCGAGAACTGTGAACAATAAAGTTTTCTCTATTGATCTTGTCTCAACCGACCCATCAGTGATTGCTTGTGACATGTCTAATGTAAGTTTCTTTTATAATTCTCCTTTTAAAGGTTATTTTTGTGTTTTTCCATATTTGGGCAGGGCTGTGAAATTGGCTCGAAGATCGTAAATAGCTCAAAAATCGAATCGAAATTTGGTAGAAATCGGCTTGAAATATTTGAGCTAAGCTACGAGCCAAATAAAAAGTTCGAATTTATTTCAATCCGGTTTCGATCTAGCTATAGATTGGATTGGGATTAGATCGAAATTAAAAAGTAATTGAATTGCGAAGTCGGACAGTGGATCGCAATTAGTGATTCGTGAATACTGTAACCCATCCTATATTTCTATAGTTCTATTCGCTATTTCGCTTCCCCACTCCCCAGCGCCGCCCTAACTTTCACTCGTTCTCTCTCTCTCTCTTTCTTTACCTCTTCACCTAGTCCCCTAATAGCATAATTTTGGCCGTCTCTTCCTCTCTCTCGCTCTTTGCGACTCTGTTGACTGCCTCTTTCATAGTCGCATCTTGCTATGGTTGTGAACGAGCTGATTTCGAGCCAATCTAGAGGTGCTCGAAATTGGATCAAAATTTTTTAAATGGATCAAAACCGGCTCGTGGCTCGATTCATTTCGAATTCTATTCGATCCGGATCAAACTTGAACGATTTACGTGCTTTCGAGCCGGCTCGAGTGCCATTTTTGGCTTGTGAGCCGGATCGACCAGGCTCGAAAACCTGATCATGCCCATAATGAGCCAGCTTGAAAACTTCATCTGAACAAAATTATTTTTAATATTAAAACAAATAAAAAATGTAAAATATACAAAAAAAATAGAGATAAAATTATTTTTTTCATTGAAGAAGTCATCAAATTACAAATATGAAATAATGTGAGTTCGTAAACAAATATTATTCATACTTGTATTCATAACTCATAAATTTAAAATTACATGTTACAAATTTATAATTTACAATTAAAAATATCAAATATGAAAATTAAATATAAGATGAATTATCGTTGTATCCTCTATTCTTGATTCTTAAATCTTGACAGTTTTCATCCTCAAATATTACTTTAAAGCTGCACAAAAAAATATAAAAAAATTACTTAAAAGTTAGAAAGTGCTATAAGTACTTTAACATTTTGTATGAAATAATAAATATTCAAACGATTAAATAAAAACAGGGGTAGACTCATACCTTTGCTTTTCATATTTAGTTTCCATAAGGAAATTAATTAAATCCTGCATTTAACCAACTTAGAAAAAATATATGTACAAATACTATATCTAAACTATTTACTATTAACTTCAAGTGTTTGATTCCAACAATAATTCTACTAGAAACGTATTAATTTGATTGAAAAGGATGCAATTTAATGTAGAAAACAACGATTACTACAAAATAATATTTCATCATATGCATAAACTAACTCTGCAGCTACATGAGATATATTTAATGTAGATCAACTTCAGAATTATCAAATTAGAAATATAATTTTAAAATATATAATTAACAAATAAAAACTATTTGCTGCAACTATACATAAAAGAAACCTTACCATAATCAGAGCAAAAAGCAAATTTTAGGCGTTAGACATGTAAATACATCTGATTTGGCCAATTGGGTTAGACATGTAAATGCCCCTAAATAAGCCAAACCATCCATACAAAAATTAAAAAACATTATCAACAGGCATCAACATCTTTTGAGGCAAAGTTTAAACAAAGAATGTTTTTAAGAATATATCATAAAATTTAAGGGATTCACTGTTTGATTGAATTGAAATTTGGTTAGAAAAATATGTTCTTCTCTTATGTTCAATTCAACCAAATCACTGCCAAGTCATCCAAAATGTTGTAGTTGTAATCATCTCAAAAACAACTAGAACTAGTGATTATATTTTGATTTATGAATTGAATGAAAAGTAGATATATTTAATCTAAAAATATATATTTATCTGTGCAAGCAATTTAATGTAACAGGCATTGTATTGAGAGGATAAAAGAAATCATATACCATTTCTCTTATGGATGCTAGCCTTCACAGTGATGCAAACTCCTGAGATTACCAAATTGATAGATGAATAAATAAATATTTTTCCAAATAAATGCATTATATCTTCCCATTAAGCATTTCAAATAGAACTATATGAATAAATAGGAATTGAGTGGTATATATGTAAATGCACAACAACGTATCATACTTTAAGAAAAATATACCTTTACATTAAGCATTTCTTTGCCAAATTGCCAAGTAATAATAGAAAATGGCGAAGTAACTCCAACTGCAAAACTATGCCAAGCAATAATAAAAAACTGCAAAACAACTGCAACTGTGCGTTAAAGAAACATCTGGAGAGTGGGAACAACTATGACTTAAATAAAATTCAAAGCACTTAATCAAATATCTGTTAAGCACAAACCTTACTTTCAAAATTTTATAACATAAATTCTTTTTCAATATTATTCCTTTATTGACTGTCATTGCTAAAAATGTTCCACCCTGCAGAAAAATGCATTATTAGCACCCCAACTTTTGTATCTTCATATATTCATATACTCTCAAATCCAACACTTGAAAGGACTAACTAAAAGGTCCTTGAACTTTCATAAACACCCTTAACTAATCTAAAGAAGAAAATTAATGAAACTAAAAACAAAAATTTCACAAGCTAATGCATTCGAGAAAACTTAAGGTATAAGATTCACATCTGAGCTTAGAAAAATTTCCAGGCTAATGCAGCCAACTCCGTCCAAAGTTATTTGACAAGTTGGTTTGATTTGAAAATATGAATTTAACCCTTGTATTATTGTCTTAATGATTAATTGACACCACAACCAAAAAACTCAAAAATATAAAATAAACCAATATTATAGATAACCGGTTGAGTGCATGTGGTCGGGCTTACATCATTGCTCCACCAAAAAATACAATTGAATGAACAAAACATCTATCCATATCACCAATTAAGAAACAAGTGTAGCACCTAATCATTATCAACAATAAAAAAATATGAATGAGAGTAAAAAAACCATTTTAATACTCAATATCAATATTTGAACAATAGAGTTAAATGCTAAAATAGAAATAAGTGTCATATAATTATGATTGATCAATAATGAACATGGTACTTTCATAGGTAAATATCACACCCAATTCTATTACTATACGCAACAAGTGGAATGGGCAGTAATAATTATTTACAAAAATTACAATTTTATCAACTCATACAATCTTATATAATTGTAGGTGTAATCTATAATGAGCTAGCATAATTCAACATCATGCATAAAATAAGTTTGAATTATAAAATTTATTTTCCAATAAGACTGGGATTTCAACATGGCAACAACATATTGCATGACATCTAAAGAATTTTTCAATAGAGGCAATTTCAAATGTACCCCCAAATCTTGTCAATTCACAAAACTAACGCCCAATCATCTCCATTCATTAAATTATCATCTAAGTATAAAAAATTCATAACAAAGTTCCAATCCACATTTTTCATTTCATCAAATTTTTAATACCCTCATCAAGGCAAGAATAAATATATTCACTTGCTTTAGATTAGCTCATTTCACTCATTTGATTTCAGTGATAAGAAATTTAGCTAACTGATTTTGCGAATTTGATAAAATCTCGTCCCTTTGATGAACAGTGAATAATTTGACGCAACCTTAAACTTGCTTTCATATCCAAGCTGATGCGAGATAAAAGGGTTTATGTTTTCCGAGAGCAGATTTAGATTGAAATGTAAGAAATCACCAGAACAACATCAAATTCACTAACGCTAACTTCTAATTTAAACAATTATGTGCTACTTTAATGGATTATCAACAATACGATAATATGAAAACAAGAGAACAAAAAATAGTCTATATTGCCGGTCAAAACAAACCATAAAATTTAATCTATAACTCGTTGGGCATTAAAGTCCATTCAATGTTCTTAGAATGCTAAACTAAAATAGATAGATTTACTGTCTGATCAATCAAAGATCAATCATCACTTAGTTGGAATAACTTTATCAAACTTGAGATCCCACGCTTAAGCTTTTTGAAGCAGATACAGTTAAGTCCTCTTTCGCAAGAATATCAAACTGAAGTTGTAAAAGAAGATTACACATTCATGTAAATTTAAGAACATGCAAATGCTATACATTATAAGAAAATGTATAACAATGTATATTTTATCAAAGGTCTTTCAATGATTTGTATGTTGTTTTGATCCAATTATCATTGCACACCAAGACATCTAGTGTTTTATGTGAAATTGAGCTACTATAATGATTAAGCACACGACCTCCTGCACCAAATGCTGGCTTGGATGCAACAATTGTGATTGAAATTGTAAATATATCTTTTATCATCTTTGAAAGAGTTTTGCATTTCATGACAGATATTTACCACTTTAAAATATTAAACTCTGAATCAGAACATTTAACACAAGCTTCTTCTAAGTATGACTCGACGTCAGACTTTTGTGGAAGTAGAAGCCTAGTTGAATCTATGAAATCATATAATCCAACCAAATCATCAAGTAAATGATGACTGCCTTGTGTTATGATTGATGACCCAACTTGAGAGTTAGAGGTAGAGGTTTCACTAACTTCTTTACCCATATATTATATATCAACGACATGATAAGAATATATCTCAAAAAGTTTTTTTTTCACACTTTCTTTCTTTTCATTTAAAACATCAACGCCATAAATTTGAGGGAGGGTAGTAATAGTTGATAACAAACAATTTTATTCTAAAATCCAAAATACAAGCAATTGAGAATAACATAGAGCAGGCTGTCCAACACTTATCAAATTTTGACTTAATGATTGTTACAATGTTAGATATAAAATGAGTATCAGATAAACAATCTCTATCCAATATTTTTTAATTAGTATTAAATTTGAAAGAAGTTTATTTACTATAGGATAACTTGAACTCGAAAAAATCTCAGTTATTTGATGAAAAATATGAAGCAATTCTTTGATCTTACCAAACTGATTCCAATCATTCTCAGATGACAAGCATGCATA